TTTGCTGCTGACAACCAGAACCAGCTGATCACATGCTCAAGAAGGACCATCAGCCTAACAATGGATCATTAGCACCTAGCATGTTGTTCAGTGTCAGGAGGGTGATCAGTCTTACGTCGGGGAAACTAAACAGCCACTGGCCAAAAGGATGGACCAGCACAGAAGATCAACATCATCAGGCCAGGACTCTGAGGTCTACACTCATCTCCAGGTCAGAGGTCACTCTTTCAGGGATGAAGATGTTCACATCCTGGACAGAGAGGAACGATGGTTTGAGAGAGGAGTAAAGGAGGCCATCTTTGTGAAAAGAAACCGTCCATCATTAAACAGGGGTGGAGCCTCCAGGTTCAACTGTCCCCCTCTTACAATGCTGTGATTGCTAGTATCACTCAGCCCTCTGTGAACAGTAAACAGCCATCAGGTGCTAATGATCCATTGTTAGGCTGATGGTCCTTCTTGAGCATGTGAGCAGCTGGTTCTGGTTATCAGCAGCAAACTGGTTGATCCACTCTGAGAAGGTGCTATTTAAGAGACTGAGCTGGATACAGCACCTCAGACTGAGGAAGTCCTCAGGATGAGAGATGAAACGTTTTTATATTTTTTTGCTTTGTTTTGTTTTTTGTTTTTTTTAATGTCCAGAGGACCAGATTGAACTTTTTTGGATTAAAATAAAAAAGGCAAGAAATTACAATAAATTTCATTCTGCATGTGGATTTTTGAATAAATGTTTTGATGGATTAAATGTTTTATTCTGTGATAAAGAGCCACCCCATAGTAATAAAATATTCACAGTCCTGCTGTTAGTGAAGTACAAACAAAAGCCAAAAACATGAAATAAAGATATAAAACCAATTTAATACAATGATCAAAGAATCAGGTTTAAATAATAAAGAAGATGTGAATCAAAAACAAAATAACTACATTTATTAAACCCTATATGACAATGTGTACAGAGAGAACAGTTTAAACCCCAAAAATAAACATTTCTTATGAACCCTGTGAGTAATTACAGAGCACTATTCTCCTTAATACAAACCTGAATTAGTAGTAAAGGTTCTCAAAGAAAAGCTTTGTTTGTTTTATCTGCCTGAAAACAGACCAGATTTTTTGATCCTGTAAAACCGAAGGACCAATCACACATCCCTGAGGAACCCTGCAGTGAAACTTCAACAAAACAGAAAAGCAGCAGAGATGTTTTTTTTTTTTTTACACTTTTTTAAGCAATACTGCTGCTTTTCATGTATTGACAAATTTAAATAACACGTTGGTATAAAAGTGCCACCCCATGGTAAAAAATATTCACACTCCTGCAGTTTCTACAGTGCATCCAAAACAAAGTGATAAAAAACATTTTAATACAATCAAGGACTCCCAGACAAAGAGGTAAAACAGAATTAAGGGTAAATAAAAATACATTTAATGCATCCTAAATGACTGAAGGTGTCAAGAGAGAACTGTCTAAACCTTAAACATTTACTACTCCTTACACATCCATATATCTCAGATCACATCTGATTGTTAAATAATAAAAATTACAACAGATCATTTTCTGAGCCGATTACACATTCCTGAGGAACTCCACAGTGGAATTTCAATAAAACCGATTAATTCATTCTGAGTTCAACAATAAATGTTTTATTAGAAGCTAAATGTCTAAAAGTGAAGTATTCAGCTGATGTAAGGATATGGAAGACCATTTCTGACATTAAAGAAGACAAAAATCACCATAACATGTTATTTAACACAAAATCTCAGTGTCGAACAAAATGATAACTTTATGAGATACAAAGTTTTAATTATGTTTTTATATGTATGTTATAATAAGTTATAACTTAGACATGATTCTAACTTTGTATCTGGTATTTATGACTTTGAAACTCATTAATATTGTGATTTTACTTTGTCTTTGAATTAAAGGGCTTGCACCACGTCTAACTTTACCTTCACCTGTTCACCAGGTGTTTTGTCACATTTTCAATCAGCACGAACACAAAGTGAGAATTATTTGGATGTTTGTTTGTAAACAAAGTTTCATCCTGAGAAAACCAATCAGCTGATTTTAATATTCTGACATGTTTTATCTGCTGACGATGTTTAAAAACAAAACTTCTTAAGACTAAAAAGATACATTTAGATTTTTTCACCAAGATAAAATTCACTTAATATTTCAAACCTTTAACAGAATATGATCTAAACATGTCAAATTAAACCAGCTGCTTTCAGCTTTTATCCTTGAATCCTGTAAAAAATACAAAAAAATCTGTAAACATTAGAATAAATAAAAAATAAAATGTGGAAAGTGACAGATAAAAGTCCAGTTTAGGAATAAAGACCAGAATCCAACCAACAAAAACCTTGAAACCAGTTTCCACAGGTCCTTAAACTCCGGTCTGCTGCCTGATCCAGTCCCGGTACTCGGTGACCCGGGTGTAGACGCCCGGTTTGTTCCTGAGGGCGCAGCCTTCACCCCAGCTGACCACGCCCACCTGGAAGACCCGCCCACTTGGGTTGGTAACGGCCAGCGGCCCTCCGGAGTCGCCCTGTGGGTCAGAGCAGAGTCCAGGTTTATTTGAGGGGTTGAACGACTACATAATGTTTAAATTCGACATTAACATGATAAAACTTGAGTAGAACTCAAGTACTTGATGACATCATAGAATCTAAAGATGTAAAAATAAATAAATAAATAAATAAATATACAAAACTGCAAAAAAACGTAATTATTTACACAAAAGACCAACAAAACATTGGGAGAGTATATTTTGCTCCTCCCATTTATCACACTGCAATTAGTCAGAGGAAAAACTAAACTAATAGTTTTTATTATTAAGCTGCAAAAGTGAAAGAAACGTGCAGCACGTCAAAAACGAAACTAAAACCAGTGGGGGGGTCAACCACCCTGCACCACCACCAGGTGTGGTGCATTAGGTTTAGTTTTAGAGATTAATATGTTTATGGGTTTTTATAGGTTTAGAGATTAATATTTTTTACTTTTTGTTTGTGAAACAAGGTCAGAGGAGCTGGTTCTGGTTCGATGATTGGACCCGGTGTCACACCATATTCTGTGACCTGCAACAGTGCATGCAACACCGCCCCCTACGGTCACAATATACGGTGGTCACAGAATATGGTGTAACACCGGTTCACAACGAGCTCCAAACAGTCAGGAAGTTGATTCATGTCCTGTTTCCTTACGGCAGCTGAACCAGAAGATTCATCTTTAGTGAAATATTTCCAGACTGTTGATGCAGTTCTACCTGTTTGTCAAGACTAGACCTGCTCCGCTCCGTCTGTCTGCTGGGAGGAATCCATTTAGTAACCTGTGCCCGGTGCGGATCACGTGACACGTGACACGTGACGCGTGACGCAATGACGTAACGACGACGCAATGACATCACCACAAATACTCAACGGGACATTTAAAAACTCAATAGCTGTCCTAGGAATCCATGTGTAGATTACTGGAGTAGTCGGTTAAAGCCCTAGTTTAGTTCAAGCTAACAGGTTCTGGCTCCACCTGCTGGTCTCCATGGCAACAAGACAACCTGCGGGCTGCTCCAGAACGTTTGGACAAATTCCTTCTTATGGATGAACGTTGAGTCAGCGGTCCCTTTCTCTCCAGCAGACTGTGACATTTTAGCTGCTCATGAATCCAAACGTTCGGCTCGTTCAGTAGCTGAAGGCTGCGACTTCTGGCTACTTTTTAAAATATTTCTCTTTCTGCCCAAACATTTTCCCCATAAAGATTCATTCAGGTCTCTTCAGTTCTTTTAACTACTACTTCTTCTTCTTTCGTCTTATCCCTCTTCAGGTGTCTCCACAGCGAGTCCTCCTCCATCTCACTCTGTCCTCTGTGTCCTCTGTCCTCACTCCAACTACCTCCATGTCCTCTCTAACTGCATCCAGATGTCTCCTCTTTGTCTTTTTCCTGCAGCTGCATTTCTAACATCCTTCTACCAATATACCCACTGTCCCTCCTCTGGACATGTCCAAACCACTGTCCCTCCTGTGGACATGTCCAACCCACTGCCCCTCCTCTGGACATGTCCAAACCACTGTCCCTCCTCTGGACATGTCCAACCCACTGTCCCTCCGCTGGACATGTCAGTGTGTCCTCTCTAACTTTATCTCCCAGTTGTTCAACCTGTGCTGTACCTCTGATGATCTCATTCCTGATCTTCTCCATCCTTGTCTCTCCTAAGGAGAACCTCAACATCTTCATTTCTGACACTTCAAGTTCTGTCTCCTGTCTTTTTGTCCATGTCTCTGTCTTTTTGTCCATGTCTCTGTCTTTTTGTCCATGTCTCTGTCTCCAGACCATACAACATAGCTGGTCTCACCACTGTCTTGTAAACTTTTTCTTTGACCTTTACTTTCTTACCACCGAGAGCCTTTAACAGCTCCTCTCTGAATTTCTCACAACATTCTTCCTTCTTCATCTTCCACCATCTGGTCTTCTTCTCTTATTTGACTCTTCTTCTCTTCTTCACAACAACAGTCATTCTACACACAACCAGCTGATGCTGTCTGGCCACGCTCTCCCCTGCCACAACCTTACAGTCTCCAGTCTCCCTCAGGTTTCCTCTGCTAACAGCTGCTGCTAACAGCTAACAGCTGCTGCTAACAGCTAACAGCTGCTGCTAACAGCTGCTGCTAACAGCTGCTGCTAACAGCTGCTGCTAACAGCTAACAGCTGCTG